ACTTGGCATCTAGATATGCGATATCAAAATTCTAAATGGAAATTAAAATTTATTCTAAAAAGAAATTTTATGGAATTTAAGAAAAAATCGTCAAAACGTGTTAAAGTAAATTTAAGTACGTACGTATATTTCAGGTACCACCTTCATTATGTATAAAAAAAATTTTTAACAAATTATTTTAAAATACAAAGTAGAATTTACTTAAGTCTAAAATGCAATGTAATGTGCCCCATTCTATATGTACGTGTAAGCGATAAAATTGAAAATTTTCAATTTAAAAACTATTAAAAATATATTCTTTGAGTTTTCAAGCGAACAATTCATTTAAAAATCAATTTTATGGCTAAATGCGAAAGTAGAAAAATAAAAACTTGTTGTTTTATATGTAGACCTCGAGCCGAACGTATATTTTATTGGTATATAAATATACGATATGGTTATATTGTAATTAGCAACGCGTAAAAGAATTAAAAACTAATTTACCTCACCTCTTTTTATTTTTATTATAATTTTTTTTTGTATTTTTAATGCAAAAATTTTAGTCGTAAACTCATTACCAGTATATATTTAATGTCAGAGTTCCCAAAGTTATGGTGTGTAATTAATTTTCAACTTTCATTTTCTATGTAATTTTTTTTTTTTTTAGATTTATTTTTAAATTTTTACAACTAAATTTTTTCAATAATGAATATTATTTTTATTGAACGTGTATTTTGAAGTTAAAACGAAAAAAAAAACTAGCAATTGAATAATTTTATTACTGTATATTCAACATGTACACACGAACATACATTATGTGTGCATGTAAATGTAGAAAAGTGCACATAATGCACATTTCCTTGAACGCGCTTTAAAGAAATTAAAATTATAAGTAATGACGTTTTAAAAATAAATTTCATGTAAAATTAAAGAAAATTTATTTTATAAAATAATGTATGTATGTATATAACGTATGTATATTAGGTATTAGTGCTAGAGCTAGAGCATTAAAATAAAGGTATAAATTACTTGAAATTATATAAACTGCATTCATTGTTGTAAAAATGATTTTTATTATCATTTCGGGTAAAATTTTAAAGTAATAAAAATTTTCATTAGTTTTTACTTTGACGTACATACGTTATATACTGCATAGACATGTATGTGGCATGCTCATACACATTTCTATTATAGGCTATAAAATGACATTATAAATCATTTGCAAATATATATATAAAAAAAAAATTTAATGAGGTTTTTTTTTAAAATATTTTACAAAATTACTAACACGTGTAACATTGGGGCAAAAAACAAAATAACAAATAGTTTCTAAACAAAATTTTAAATTTTTTTGCTGCCAAATCATGTAGGACATAAGATAATAACAAAATTACCAAATGCAAATCCTGAAAAATAAACACTACTCCACTAATCGGGACACTTAATAACTAACCTTGTCCAAATGGGAACAGGTGAAATGTTTGATTAGCCAACACAACACACTCAATTTGAATTTACATTATATACTCGTAGGCGTATCAAACTTTGTTCATATCAAATTTTTTTCATATTGATTTTGCTTGGCTTAATTATAATTTAATGACAGCTTCAAACAAAATCCAACAACAATGTTGATGCCTAACTTTCCTTACTGATAATATTTAAATTGAACTGAAAAAAAAATAAGCAGTAAAATTGTGAAAGGAATTTTACTGAGTATGAACACAAATCAAACATGTTCGTAAATACTGTCAATCTATAATTTATTATTTTACTAGACCTATATGATATAAGACCTATAATCTATAATTTGTTATGGTCTTATAGACCTTGTGTGTTGCAAAAATTCGGTACAAAATTTTAAACTTAAACCATATGAAAAAATAATGTTATAAACGTGAAATGTACTTTTGAAACATATAACAAAAATTAAATTTAGTTTAAATAAACAAAAAGAATTTGTAATTAAAATCAAAATTAAATAATAAAATTTAAATGTCAAATAAAAATTTTAAAACTTTTCTTAGTAGATATTAAAAAAAAACTACTTCGAAAATAATTTTTACGAATGAAACATTTATGAGTAAAAGCAGAATGAAGAAATTTGAGTACAGCAGTAGAGTCAGAGAACCACAGGGAACATCTGCTTTTCAATAGTACTGTGTAACATAGAATAATTGAAATGTAGTAACATAAAACACTGAGGAAATATTTTGCGGAAACAGAAGCCTAAAATATTTGGACAATCCTGATGCAGTGTAGAAAAAATATAAAAAAACTGCAAGAGTATTAGAATAAAACACAAAATTGTGTTCTATTTTAAGTGAGAAAATTTGAAAAACATTACTTTTCAAATCTGTATCATAGAACTTTAGGTTACCGGTAATAAATGAACTATAACATTAATTTCTTTTGAAAGAGAGGAGAATCTCTTAGTTCGAATTCAAACTAAATCTTTTGATTCACCCATAGGAAATGAGAATGTTTTTAAAATTTTTTCTATAATGCTCTCTATAAATGTTTGAGTCCATATTATTTCCATCATATCAAGATGCAATCCATATATACATATACATATGTATTTGTTGTACATCCACATACAATGTATTTGTTTATATTAGATTATTTGTCTTATAAAATCTGATTTAAGAATTTGTAAATTATTTTCAATTAAAAATATTCATAAAATATTTTTTATGAATTTAAGAACATTAATTACTTTATTATTCTAAAAATATCATCAAACTCAACATCAACTATATGTATACATATACAATTACATATACTCATATATTTTAAAGAATGCAATTTAATAAAGAGTACATTACAGAGTTTCAACACCCAGAATGTACATAATTATAATAAAATTAATAAAAATAAATATTTGGTTAATTAAGTATATTGTTTTTAATTATAATAACGTCAAACATACATATAAACATATATAGACAATATAAAAAAGTATATTGTAAAATACAATTATAATATACAGATTTTTTGAGTTGTAAAAGGATCACTTGAAATTCTTATTTATGTATACATACATACTTTATTTGAAATACTTATATATGCACATATATGCATTATATTTGCACATCATTCTATTATAAGTACAATAAGCTATGTATTTATAATAAAGAAGCAACTATATACTTTTATATTATACTTAAATAACAACAGCAATGACATTAGAAATAAGCACATATAAAAGTAGAAAATAAATAATTTTTTCTTACAATATGAACAAAAAAAATAGAAGAAAATGTTAGACTAAACGTGATTTTTATATAAAATGACTGATTATTTTGGCATGAATTGCACAATATAATGAATGTTTTCCCCTATTTTTCACAGGTATATTCTTCATATACATTTATATGCATTTAATATTACAAAATTTATTTATACTTATATGTATATACATATTATGTGCTTTCATTCAAGGTAAGTACATTTTATAAGCAAAATGAGAAAGCAACGAACATAAAAAACACATTATAATAGAAATAAAGAGTTTTCTAAGATATTCAATATGAACACAATTTTTATACACAGAGAAAAAAAAAATTTAATGTGATTTTATTATAAATGTACATTATATTGAAAATTCTCGTACAATTTCATGTAAAAACACAGATAATTATATATACATACAAACAACATAGAAACATATTTATGTGAACTACTTGCTCCAATATCTACATATTTTTTATATATTTTACATATGGTATATAATTGAAGACGTGCCAAATTGTATTGCACATATTAGTTATACCAGGTTGTACTTCTATAATACAAAAAAAAAATAATAGCAAAAACTAATTTGCAAATAAAAAATAAAAAGAAAATTTAAAACTTTTGCATTGATTCAGAGTAGAAGAAGTAGGAAAAAAATTTAGTACGAGGATTTTAGAATAAAATTCTACTTAATATTTTAACAAGTTAAATTTTGGAAAACTCACATAACCATGCATAATTAAAATGTATAAGAAATTTTTAAAACGTTTTCATTATTTTAACTGTTTTCCTTGAAAGCTTCTTATTATAATATAATCAAAAATTTTTATAAAAAAATTATATTTTAACAAAGAAACTCAACTTTTAATGAAATTGCAGTTATAATATAATGCTGAAAGCTAAACCATAAAAAAACATTTTTCATTAATATTTTTTAATTCTATTATAATTAGCTAGAGACTAACAACAACTTAAAAAAGAACTACTCAGAAGAAGTCGCAAAATGTTAGTTAGAAAATTTAAATTTTACACTTAAAAATTCTATAAGGTTCTACAAGATGGAAAGCCCTGTTCATAAGCGAGACAACAAGAAAAATATGGCAAAACACCGCAAGGTCTTAATGGGATGGACGCCTAGAAATATTTCGAGAGGGCATTGCCTGTCTGACGGCAGTCTACACGTAACACATACCTTTTTCAGAGCATGCAGCCACACTAGGATACCCTTCAATGTCTGACTCTGGCCGAGGCCAGACTGGGTATGTGGCGTAGAGCATGTTTGACGGGGCTGAGCGAAATATCGAAGATTGGTATCGGGGTCTTAGATAGATTTCTCAAGAAATCTATCAGCAAGCCGTCATTAATGGTAAGCTTAATTACTGCCTGGTGATCACGAGGTATTGAATGCAAAGCGGCATATTTGTTATAATTGAGATGTGATAGACTTTTTCAGTATAGAGTTTTTTACAATAGAGTTTTTTTCAATATTGTTTTTTACAGAAAAAAAATTGAAATCATGACAATCCTATTCAAATAATGTATTTTAAATTTCCATATTAACTTAATAATAAAACGGTAACATTGTTTTCTTGTCAATTCTGTCACACGTGTGAAAAGATTTTCCATCAAATTTGATTTTTATTCGAAAGCAATATGAATAATATAACAAATTATGTAATCTACAGGTATATCTTATATTTTAATAATTATTTTTAAAAATATAAATAAAAATATAATGTAAATAAAATGAAAATTATTAATAGAAAATTGACGTAAACACTTACCTTTTATTTTACTTGAATAATATCCAAAACTTTCAATTGTAATCCCAGAATTCGACGCAATTTTTTAGAGTTAAAAGATTTTTTAATTTTAATAATTATTTTACTTTAATTTAAATTACTATAGCACAAATACTTTAAGTAAAAATAACAAAAAAAATAATTAAAAAAAAAACGCGATTTATTTTACAAATTTCGAAATTTCGAATTAAAAAAAAATTTGAACTAATTATGGAATAAAACTATTATAAATAATAATCATTAATAAGTCCAATTTAATTATTATTTATGAGTTCAAAGAAAAATTTTTTTTTTAATTTTTTATTTTTTTTTTCTTACAAATCAGCTATTAATGAAAGAAAACTGAAATGAAACTAATCAATAACAAAAAAACAACATTTAAAATTAGAATTCAATGTCATGTCTTTGAATTGCATCAAAAATTTCAAGTGTGAATGTGCATTCGGCTAACTGAACAAAATGTCAAGAGAAAAATAAAAAATTTTAAAATTTTTCTCCATTATTATAGTGTTTAAATTATAATTACAGTTATATTACGAATATTATTACATCAAAATGCTATTTCTCCTCTTTCAAGCAATCTGTTCACCCATTAATAATACATATGTATGTGTGTGAAGCATCTATATGTAGCAATATATTAAAGTTTTCAAAATTAATTGCCAAAAAAAATAATCAAGAAATTTTTTTAATTTTTCTTTATTTCGTCATTAAATTTTCAGAAAAATGCAATGGAAATAAAGCAATACACATAAAAATCTATATATGAACATACATACATATACATATGTACAGTTTTTTAAATTAGACGTCATTTTTAGACTTCGGTCAAAAATTTTGAAATATATGTATGTGTAACTATGTAAGTATATAAATCAAAGGAAATTACGGAAATAGAAATTAAAAAAAAATTTTTGCTTTAAATGACAAAATCTTTAACCCCATGATAAATACAGTTTGTTACTAATAATGGAAATTTCGCTGAAGATTTGAAAAAACGTATACATATGTATATGTAAATACATACGAGTAATCATCCATATTTTGTTAATCGCATCACTTCAAGTACATATTGGAATATTATTGAAAATAATTTTGTTTATTTTGTATAGAATTTCGAACGTCCGAATTTATTTTTCAGAAAATTACAAAATTTTTCAATAACAACCCATCTCATCGAGTAATGCGGCTAATAGAATATGGTTGACTATGCGCACATTTGTGTGTTAGTTTTTTCCAAATTTTTAGCGGAATTACTATTATTAGTAACAACGGTATATATTCGTGAATATGTAGGTAAAATGTACAAAATTAAGCAATTAGGAAATTGGTCGCGTACTCATAATAAGGAGCTGTCGTCTCAAATTGCCATACACATATACATACTTGAAGAAGGTATCACATTATGATTTTTTAATTGACAGACAAAAAAAGTATGACAATATATTATAATTCAATAGACTGACAAAGGCAAATAATATTAAGTATATTTTACCATTAGCTCCCAAAACCACAATTCACCTAATTTTAATTAATATAAAAAAAAATATTAGAAAAAAATATTTAAAATAAAAATATTAAAATTAAAAGTTACAGCAATATAATGTATTTATTAATTATCCAAGTAAAATTAAAAATAAAAAAAATAATTTCGAACATAAAATTCCGTATATGAAATGTAAAAACAAGTTTTGATTATTCAAAATGTTACGAAAAATGATTGAAATATCAATCAAATTAATCAGTTTCATTTGTCCATAACTGGGTTTTTTTTTCATTATTATTAAATGGCTATATCAGTACTAGTTTCATTTAAATTTCAAAATTTAACCTAATTAAATCAATTTCTTGATGAATTTAATTTTTAATATTTTTTATTTTTGACATGTTTTTAGACATTGATTGGTGTAATCTCTGTTATATAATATAATGTAAATTTTATTATGTTTTAATTTTTGTAGAGCAACACAATAATATTGTATTTTAAATTACGTATATAATATTTTAAATTTTATTAAGCTTGTATTATAAATATTCATAAAAATTATAACAGTTTATGAAAAAATTGATTTTAAACCTTGTTTAAGTTAAATGCACGTCTTAGAAATTCGTACAACCTTGCAATTTGTCATTAATAAGTTTGCTTTTTTTTAACAAAAATATAACACTCCAGAAAGAGCTTCCTACAGCTCGGTTTCCAGCTCTTAGATCTAAAAATTCCTGTTCTTTTTTACAATTAAAACACGCTCAGATTTTGATATCAAAGGGCTTGCACTTCAAATTTCAAAAAATTTGTAAATAACAAATTAAACTGTTATATTACTTACCAATTATACCTACCTGTTTTATACAAGATTAAAAAGTAATAAATTAAAATATTTAAAATTTTTGAAATAATTTTACATTTGAAAATAATAATTAATGCTAATAATTACGATTGTGCGTAATTATTCTAGTCTCATTTCATATTAATCGCTAAACATTCAGGGCTTATAACAGATAATAATAGTGTTATACACCCTTAAATAGAATAAAATTCAGTATATGTATTCATATTTCATTCTACTAGAATTACGATTATTTTCCGATTTTAGTTATTTGTATTTTTAATTAAAAATCATAAAGTTTAAAGCTCTATAAATATATTCAAACTAAGAAAAGAATTGTAATAAAAACCTTAACTTACGAGTATATAAAGAATTTATACGGAATTTTTCTTTCATCTCTTTAAGGGTGAACCTACAACATGATATCACTTACAAATATACGCTCATTTCATTACAATACATGTTTTTGATAGTAGAAAATCATTAACAGATTCCATACATAATTCTAATAAAATAATAAATTAACTATATTAACTATTAAAATTTATATGGCCCAATATACGGTATGAATTAAAATTAATTCCAAAAATTGTTCCATCAACATTATAAGTACCTTGTATAATTTTAATAATAATGTTAATAAAAATATTTTACCTAATAAAACTTGAAATATTTTCATAATCAATAAAAATTTTATAATTTTTTATTAGTATTTTTTAAAAATAAATTTTATAGAGCAACACTGATCTCACACGTATGTACATATGTATGTAGATTGCGTATATTTAATTTTAAAAGGAATTCATTCATGCAATTAACTTTTAATTTTTTAATGGCAATATGTTATTAATATTATTATTTTTTTGAAAAATTTATTACATCATTACACATATTAATTGATACATAATATTACATATAAAGATAAGATATATTTCAGAGTAATTCAAGTAATATATTTATAAATATTTTTGAAATGATGGAAATATTGAAAAAAAAATAGAGTTGACCTTGTCAACTCTGTGATACCCGTACGAATTTGTTATCCTATGCGCGAATAACTAATGTGCCATAACTAACTATGGGGCAGACTATGACTTTAAGTTGCCGTATTACCATATTAATTTATGCAAAATTTCAGTACTATGTGTTATTCAAAATACTGGTTGTGCCAAACTACTATTGATGTTGTATGGCACCTACCAGAAAGAGCCAAGAAATTTTAGAGAATTTTATCAAGCACATCGGCCCTACTAATATATTCCCTTGTGTGAAATCTCAATATCACAGCTTTTATAGTTTCTGAGATATAGTCAAATAACTTTTGAAGTTGTATGGCAGGTACCAGAAGGAGCCAAGTAATTTCAACGACTTTTATGAGACACATCGGCCCTACTAATATATTCGTTTGTGTGAAATTTCAATACCATAGCTTTAATAGTTTCTGAAATATAGTCAAATAACTTTTGAAGTTGTATGGCAGGTACCAGAAGGAGCCAAGTAATTTCAACGACTTTTATGAGACACATTGGCCCTACTAATATATTCACTTGTGTGAAATCTCAATATCACAGCTTTTATAGTTTCTGAGATATAGCCAAATAACTTTTGAAGTTGTATGGCAGATACCAGAAGGAGCCAAGTAAGTTCAACGACTTTTATGTGACACATTGGCCCTACTAATATATTCGTTTGTGTGACATTTCAATATCACAGCTTTTATAGTTTTTGAGATATAGCCAAATAACTTTTGAAGTTGTATGGCAGGTACCAGAAGGAGCCAAGTAATTTCAACGACTTTTATGTGACACATTGGCCCTACTGATATATTCGTTTGTGTGAAATTTCAATACCATAGCTTTTATAGTTTCTGAGATATAGCCAAATAAATTTTGAAGTTGTATGGCAGCTACCCGAACCGGTACTCCGATCATGTCCAATTTAAATAGGGTTCTGGCACTTACTACAATAAATCATTTGTGAAAATTTGGTGAACTTAGCTAAATTAGTTTTTGAGTTATCGTTCGGACGGACGGACGGACGGACGGACGGACGGACGGACGGACAGACAAAGCTAAATCAACTCAGAATTTGACGCTGATCAAAAACATACACTTGAGTCTATATCTAACACCGTTATTTCTTAGCGTTACAAACGGTAAGGCAAATTTAGTATACCCTTCGAACATACGTTCGTACGGGTATAAACAATATACAGATGTTAGGGTACATTGGTATACATGTACATACTGTTTGATTACTTAATTATTTAAGAAATCGGAAGCTACTAATTATTACTTTACATTTTATTAATTATCGACTGAAAAATTTATGCATATATTCTACTATTCTACTATGGTAAAGATCTAAAACCTACTCCCTATATACGAAAGGAGAATAATAAATTGAATATTTCACAAAAAAACTATATGGAAGACATTTAAAATCGCAATTCAACGTTCTTCTATACTCAATTCAAATACATATGTATTTTGTGTTTACTTTTATTCTTAACATATTAACGTACATATATTCCGCCTTCATGGTAATAATAACAAATCGTAAGTAATATTAAGATAGCATGTCACACACAATAAATTCGCACATATTATTATAACTTCAGATGATAATTGTAATAATGATGATGACTCAAATGGTGATTATTTTTATTATAATCGTTATTATGATTATGCCATAATCATTGGTTGACCACACACATGGTTAATATTTATATTTTAATCTTTTGCACATAGCATTTGTATTATAACCATCTCCTCTACGTATATATGTATGTGTACCAAGAGAAAGG